ATAATTAATTTGACGTAAAAAATTAACGAGTCCACGTCGACATAGGATTGCAAAAGGGAAAGATTAACGCCAAATATCGAAGAAGTTGCTGCATGTGAAGTTAGAATTTGTAATCTATGTAAGAAAAATGTTTAACGTATGAAGAATAGTTTGCTAGACGGTGAAACGATTCCAAGTTAATTGAATTATAAGAGGAGGGTATTTACACCCAGACACAGAAAAAAATATGCTTTCTTGCGTCATTAGATATCGGAAGTGACCAGTGAGAAAATTTACATTGATTTCTATTGCGAGAGAATTAATGCGGATCAATCGATCAACTTTGCTCTTTAACGTCATCGCGCGTCAACGAGTTATCGCGAGTGACGCGAAGACGCGAAACAAAGACTCGTTTGCAGCGGATACATTCGATAAGTGTATTCTGGTGCGTTATTGAACCATTGCCAGAAGTGCTGTCACACGATCGGGCGAGTCGTTTCTCCTGTTTCACCGATCTTGCTCGGCGCCGTTTGACGAAGCCGGCCTTATCGTTGCTAAGCCAAGAGCGGGAAACGGCATGATTTTGGAGATAATGAGCTCCCTCGCGAACATCGTTATCAGCAAGCAGCTGTCGAGCGTACATTGATATCACGAAACCTAAATCGGACGCGAGTTCTATCGCTACGTATGATATCTGCAATCGTAAAAGTGATGTGAATATTTTTAAACGCATTACGGGAGAGTTTGAGTAAAATCGATGAAGCAAAAGATAATTGGCTATTTATAATTTCATTGTTATACATCATCCGTAGAAGAGTACTGTCACAAGTTCAAAATTCACAATTTTCAGGAGAGAGAAAAGAAACAAATTTAATTCAATTTTATGCTCTTTTTTTATAGCACGATAGATAATACTTTAGGCATACTTTTTATGGGTTTGACTAAAAATCGAAATCTTTTTAGTTGTGACAATATTGTTCTAGGAGTGCGCCATAATTGAATTATTATATAATAAATTTGAATAAATTATATAATGAACATTTGTATTACTGATTATAGATAACATTCAAATCATCCAGCTTTCGTCCCGCACGAGGACTAATTAACCTCTCCGTTACGCAATAGTTTCCGCCTAGAATAAAATTTATGAATTGTGACATAGCCGACGACATTCGGTCTTCCGCGTGTCGTGTTCACGGGATGCATACGGAGTAAACGAGACGTATAAATTAGCAACGCGCGGTCCACGTACAGAAGGAGACGCGAAGGTCAAACAACGCGTTAACGAGGCTTACCGCCGTGCACACCCTAAATCCGGAAGCCTTCTGCCTTGCTATCGCACGATGCACTTCGGGAACTTGGCACCGGCCTTCGGGCACATATCCCGGGAAGGGGAAAGACCTTCGCGACCCCCTCGTATTATGGGAGTTCCAAGTTGGAGACTCGAGTATCGGAGGAATGCACTCACTTGAACTTTGTCAGTTCAATCAAATATTAATCCTTAACCTCTAAATCATTTAACAGTACGATCAGCAACGAAAATTATGTGCCACTCTCGTCGGCGACCCCCACCCCCCGCCTCTCTTCAGACTCATCCGCGGAAGGTCGAGTCTGGATTCCGGACTCTGCGAGACACGCCGTGTACCGGAAGTTTCATTCTAACCTCAAAATCAATTCTTGCCGTTCTCAAATTATTATTCGGTTCATTGCGTAACGCGAGATTACGTGACGAAGGGCGCGATGCTGTCATTGACTTTTTAGTCGTCCCTAATGTTGTTTATGTCTATAGGAAAATAGTAAGTCTCACAGCAAGTGCGAGAAGTTTCATTAACCTTCCGACACACAATGGATATATCTATACAGTTCTCTACTCAAGAAAGGAAAATAATATATAAATGCAGTCGAACGTTTTATCATAATAGCGCTTCAAGTGCGAGACCTTGTTATTTTTATCTCACAATATTATTACCTACTACCTACTATATTACAAAAATTAAGCTGTCGTGTGGAAACGTCGAACCTCGTCGCCACTCTTTTCGTACTTACTACGTGTTGGTTGGATGTAAAATCTAAGAATTGACGATAACGATACGCCGGCAAAATTGAATTGTGCCAGGCCTCAGCAATGCGGAGCGGAACAAGCTACTCACCTGCCTGCGCCGAAACCAGCTGATAAAAGAGACCGGAGAAAAAGCGCTCCGTTACGAATCGAATCGCGCAAACGTTATGGCTTCTGCACACGGAACGCCGAACGCGGAAAGGCTTGTTGCCGGGAGCGTCCCGGTTTGACCACGGCCACTCACAGCCCCCGGTGCCTGGAGTTCTTCCACTGGACCAGCCAATCAGATATTTTCTTTTTTTTCTTTTATTCTCCGAACTTTTAGAATTATAGGCCTAGTTTACAGTGTTTACACCGATCACTTGATACGCGTATTAAATAGTAAATAACTAGCAAATAAGTCTGATTATTGGCTGATCAGTTCAAATATACTATTTGATACGCGTATCAAGAGATCGGTGTAAACTAGGCCATAAAAAGAAATAAACTTATATTATGGGTCCAGTGAGACGTGAATATTGAAACAGCGGAATATGCCCTAATATTTATCTCATATTTATGTATTAAATAATTTATTTGCATGCTATATTTTGTTTTGTTTTGCTTCTTTTAGGTTAGGAGCGTCAGCGCCTTCAACCCTGCCTTTGGGTTATATAGCGCTTGAGGTTAGGTATATCTGGTATATCAATACACGTGTTGCATCGTTGCCATTCGTTACATGTTGCATTCACGTATATACCACCATACGTCAATAGAGATTACGCTCATTCATCGCTCGACAGCGATGTGAGCGATGTTAATTTAAAATCTCTTTCACGAACGAGTTGCAAATGCCAAATATGAGCTTTTCCGTGTACGAGTCGCACGTGGCCCTGTGCAACAACGAACGTGTAATAATACACGATATTGACAACGGTACCGAAAACGTGATAGTCTTGCCGGATCTGGAGGCGGAGAGAAAGATAGACGTGCACAACAACGTGGACATCGAGGCATATCACATGATAACGTCTCTGACGTTCTCCGAGGATGGAAAGTATTTTGCTGTGTGCACGAATCGCAAGCAGCTGTGCCTGTACGAGACCAAGGACCTGAGGCTCCTGTCGAATCGCACGCTCACCAGGGCCGCGAGCAGAGTGAGATTCTCGCCGAGCAACGATATCGTCGTGGCGGATAAGGCCGGTGACGCCTACCTGTTCTCCACCAGCCCTCCGACGGAGACCGGGACCTTGATCTTGGGACACTTGTCGATGCTCCTCGACATACTCGTCACGCAAGACGCGAAATACGTCTTGACGACCGACAGAGACGAGAAGATAAGGGTTTCCATGTTTCCGAACTGCTACAACATTCTGTCTTACTGCCTGGGACATGCAAAATTCGTGACGAATATCTCGGAGTTGCCGCACGAGAAGAGGATCCTGATATCGTGCGGCGGTGACGGGGTCTTTAAGTTGTGGGACTATAAGCGCGGAAGTGAACTTATGTCTGTAAACTTTTGCGACAAGGTACCGAGGTGCGACATTGAAAAGTTCAACCAGGATCTCCATGACTGTAATTACGACGAATCCGTAGATATACTGCCTGTCAAGTATCTCAGAGTGTCTCGTCTTAGTAGAATAGAATCTTTAATTGTGATAAGTTTTTATAACAGCAAGGTACTGTTAGTTTATAGGATTAGCGGTGACAATGATACACGGTTAAAGGCAAATTATTTGGAATCCATAACTGTACAAGCTGAACCTGTGGAATGTCTCTTACACAAACAAGATTTGTGGATATTAACGGATGTAGGATTTCAAGTGTACAAATTTGAAAATGATAAATTTGTAACTCACGATGCTCTAAATTCCACTATCAAGCGTCTCGATATGTCCTGGCAAATTTTAAAAGACACTATCGTTAAACGGAATTTGTTTCCAGTTTTATATAAAAGAAATTATGACAATGCGCAGGAATATCAAGAAAGGAAGAAGATCCGTCTTGCGGGCAATACAGAGTAGATATAATACCATTTTTACAAATGTTATAAATACAATGATCACGCTGAGTATTTTGTAAAGTACGTGCAAATAAATAATTTGCAATAACCGAACGAAATAGAGAGAAAAACAAAGGTCTATATTTATTTTACATCAATCGTCTTAGATCATACCAATGTTATTGTATTATACAAATTTGCTAATGTGTGTTAATGCTGATTAAACTTTCAGAAATATATAATTTCACTATGGAGGATACAAATAATTGTAGCAAGGTAATATTGAATGAACTTGTAGCATACAAAAAGTAATAGACATCTAATATTATTTTTGTAATATAAAACGATAGTCATTGGTAACATTATGTCAAAAGTTACACAGGTTTATAATCTAGTTTAGATTCGAGTTTCTTGTTGTCAGAAACCTTTCTGACGGCTTTCATGAAATCTTCTTGTATTACATATTCTCTTTCTAATCGTATTGCAAACAGGCCGGCCTCGGTGCACACGTTTCTTAAGTCAGCGCCGTTGAATCCATCCGAGAGTTTAACCACTGCCTCATAATCTGTTATTTGCATGAATAATATTCATGTAATATTGTAAAACGGAATATTTAAAATAAAAAATACGGGACGAATAAATTTCTTACCGATTTCACCATGTTTGGCAATTGGCAGGGCATGTATTTTCAAAATTTCTAAACGAGCTTGTTCGTTAGGGAGCGGTATTTCGATCTTTCTGTCCAGTCTTCCCGGCCGCAATAACGCGGGATCCAAGGTATCAGGCCTATTTGTAGCCATTATCATTTTAACTTGACCCAAAGAATCAAATCCATCCATCTGATTCAACAATTCCATCAAGGTTCTCTGGATTTCGCGATCAGCACTTGTCCCTTCCGAAAATCTGCGGCCACCTATACATATATATGAAGCCAAATATATTAATATCTTTAATTCTCTTTTAACTCAGATACTTTTTACTTATAAATATCGTGCACCCACCAATAGCGTCAATTTCATCCATAAATATAATACAAGGTTGATGATCACGAGCGTAATTAAACATCTCTCTAATCAGTCTAGCTGATTCTCCAATATATTTATCGACAATCGCGCTCGAAACAACTTTCAAGAAATTTGCGTCTAACTGACTGGCAACAGCTCTCGCCAGTAATGTTTTTCCAGTACCGGGAGGACCGTACAATAAGCATCCCTTGGGAGGAGTGATCCCGACTCTTTGGAAAAGTTCAGGATTTAATAATGGCAATTCTATAACTTCGCGCAATTCGCGTATCTGCTCGCTCAAACCACCGATTGCGGAATATGTCACATCGCCAGGATCTTCATGAGACATGTTATAAACTAACGGATCAACCTAGAAGCAACAACAAA